TGCGCAGGGAGCAGGGTGAGGGCCAGGGGCTCCGTGCGCAGGGAGCAGGGTGAGGGCCAGGGGCTCCGTGTGCAGGGAGCAGGGTGAGGGCCAAGGGGCTCCGTGCGCAGGGAGCGGGGTGAGGGCCAGGGGCTCCGTGCGCAGGGAGCGGGGTGAGGGCCAAGGGGCTCCGTGCGCAGGGAGCGGGGTGAGGGCCAAGGGGCTCCGAGCGCTCGCGCGCCGCCCACAAGCGGCCCCTGCGGAGCGCGGCCGGGCGCTCTGCGACACGCCAGATCCAGGGGCCGGAAACTCTTATTTATCCTATTTAATTTATTCACTTATAAAAACCTGGACAAATTCTCATGGTTATTTTGCAGCTGGTTTTATTAACCTGACTTATTTAAGAGCTCCTGCTGCCCACCTGCCAAAAGGAGTGGGAACAAAGCGCAGAAGCTCCTCTAGCTCGGTACAGTTTTCCACTGTTCTACTTAGTTTTAGGTCACATATGATTAGTTTCCCTCCTCCTTTACACATTACCTCATATTTGATGGTGCAGCAGTGGATTTGTTCAGCAATGACTACTGATACTTCGAAACAGTAAAACATCTCTCTGTACTGTTGCCCTCTCCCTGTATATATGTGCAGAAAGAGCTGGTTTCTGGCGCTAAGCAATTAATAAATAACAGAAAGCTAGCCACAGTGGAGAATTTCCTCTAAGAGGTGACAACTCCACCAAATACGACCGAGAAGCCCTGTGTAAAAGAACTACTAGTCCTAGACGACGTCCTGTCTAGTTTGTTCTGCTGCCAAAACACTGCCCCTTACCGTGACTGCTGCATGCCCCTGTTCACATGTTGTTACACGCCACCACAAAGAGAAACTTCGCTAGCAGGATTTTAAGGTATAAAAGGAACAGTGCTGGCTGGGTGTTTTTGTTGCTCTGCGCAGTTGCAAGCGCATCATCTTCCCACTGCCTTCCACGTCACTTCTGGCCGCGATTCTAGCGCTGTATTAGGGGCACTTGCTTAAAGGTGGCCCCGCTCTGGCTCATGACAAAAGCAGGCAGTGTTGAAGCAAAGAGGTGCTCACACACACACCCCCCTGGAAGGATGCAATCTGCCACCAATCCCACATGCGACTTCAAAAATCTCAATCAAAATAAACACTTTCTCACCTCTTTTTGTTAAAGAAAAAATAGAAGATTTTTTTTTCAGGTATCAGAGCAAGAACCACATTCAGATGAGCATCTTTAGCGCTCTCTGTTTTTATACAAGTCCGTTAAAGACAATTTCTTAAAATGTGCCTTTGTCATTAATAAAAACCATCAAACATAAACTATAAGAGGTGAGAAGGGGACAGAAGACGACACAGCAAGAGCACCATGCTGAGAGAAGCCCTGAATCGCTGCTCCCTGGGGGCTCTCCTCTCATCTCTCTGTCCTGCCAAACTGGGACAGAGCCTGAGCCGCCCAGCTGTGCCCCTATGGAAAGCTTGTGTTGCTGCCCATCCCCATCCCCATCCCCATCCCCATCCCCATCCCCATCCCCATCCCCATCCCAGCTCTGGCTCCATGGGATCAGCAGAGAGAGCAGATCCCCCCAGCCTCCTTGCCGCGGCTGGTAGCACAAGGCTCCTGTGGGGCTCCCTGTGGCCCTGTGCCTGCTGCAGCCCCTTTCATTCCAAACCCTTTGCTCACCGCTGTAGTGCACAGGCATAAGAACAGAGACCTGCCACTTCCCCCAGGGCCTGGGAAGCCTCCCTCATCTGGCCCTCCATCCCCACGGGCAGAGGGCTGCCGCTGCCACCCCAGTGCCACACGTGCACACACGCAGTCCAGGCACAGGCTGCCAACTGCCTCTTCCCTTCACACCCCACCTTTCACCACAGGGATCCCTCACCATATTAACGCGCCCCAGGGCTTCTCCAGCGAACATGGCAATCACTGCACATTGTCTTCAAGGGTTAGACTCATTAGCTTCCTTGATAAATATTAGAACTTTATAACTTTTCCTGGCACAAAGGATGTTTTTGTCTCTCAAATCCTAGGTAGGTGGCATTGACCTTTTTCCAAAGACAACCGATGCCACGTAAGTCACAAAGACTCACAACAGTGCTCTGTTATGCACCAGGAGTGCACCAACGTGCACACATAAAATAAAAAGAGCATCAAGCTGAGCTGCAAGCATGTGTTAAGGTTACGAAGCCCTTACTTGCCTGGCTGTGCGCCACAATGATGGCACCGTGCAGCTGTGTGGGCCTACCCCAGCCCACAAGCAGCTGAGTCACCATTTCACTGCCAGGAATAACCGCACGAGACCAGACCTCACCACGGACACTGGGTTTTGCTTTTCTGCAGTTCTTCTCAGCAAGCACAAACCCACATTCGCCAAGAAGCTGGCGGCCATTTCCACTCACTGTGCTTCATGAACGGTGCCCGGAGGTGGCGCATGTGCTGTTTGCAGCTTTGAGCACAGAGATATCAGGCGACACAAAACATCATACAGGTGTGTGTCACACTCCTGTACTTCTAACGAGGCTTCATTACATGCATCCCAGCTTAAATTCTTTGAACTGCCCCTCTCTTAAGACAGAAGTTACCCTGCCGTATAAACCAAAAAGCCAAAAGCCATAAAAACCAAAATGTGGAGACCACATTTGCTGTTTTGTTAGTACCTCGAATTGTGTGAAACGTTTTCTACCTGATATCCAAAGCAGACCATCCACCACATATCCCGCGTGGCACGAAAGGGATCGGTCAAAGGGCTGTACAAAGGTCCACTTGTTCTTCTTGGGGCAGTAGCGCTCCACGGTGGGCAGCACTTGCCGCAGCTCGTTCCTGCCGCCCGCGGCGTAGAGGAAGTCGCCCAGGGCGCCCAGCACGAAGTGCTCGCGGCAGTTCTTCATGGGGGCGATGTCGGCCCACGCGTCCGTGCGCAGGTCGTAGCGGCAGGCCGTCCGCACGGCGCACGTGCGCCCCGAGCCGTGCTCGGCCTCCCCGCCGGCCACGAAAAGGAAGTCGCCCATCACAGCCACGCAGTGGTGGCTCCTGCCCACGGGCATGGGCGCCAGCTCGCTCCAGTTGGCCACGCCGGCGATGTGCACGTTCTCCTGGTCCACCGGGTTGAAGTAGCGCAGCTCCCGCACTTTGCAGACCTCGCGCTTCTTCCCGCCGATGATGTAGAGGGTGTCGGACTGGAAGCGAGGCCTCGTCCTCCTCGTCTGCCACACGGGCTGCGCGTAGAGGCTCTGGTGATAGGCCAGGGCCTCCTTGACGAGCGCCGTGGCCGTCTCGCTGGCTTGCACGAGCGGGTGGGAGAGGGCCACGGCGTGCAGCGTGTCCACGTCCATGAGGCCGAAGCGGACGTACTGGAGCAGCTCGTCCATGTACTGGAAGCGACAGTTGTGCTCCAACCACCTCACTGCGAGCTGAAGGGGACAGGGGGAAGGAAGGGGAAAACAAAACACAACACACAGGCAAGAAAATAATCATCTGCGTACAATTCTGCCCAAATTTGGTCTTTAAAAACTGTGCTTACATCCTAAGAACTGTATACTTGCCTCAGTAGCAATACCAATCAGTGTAAGAAGTACTTGTGAACTAACGAATCAACATAAAACACACACTTTAAAGCACGATCTACGATATATATATATATACACACACAATGTGTATAAATATATATATGAACACACATATATATAGAAAAGCATTGTCTTTTACTATCCCCCCTCAAAAAATACAGTTTTTCACACTATTAACACCAGACTGTAATACTGCTATGCAATATTCCTGTTGTGCAGACTGGTGCAGATGCTTTAGGAAAGCACAATATCCAGGAATCCAGCTGCTGGAGCACTGTTACTAACACAGAGACTATGTGGTCATTGAAGGGAGATTAGAAAGTAGATAATTAAGATTGTGGTTAGATAATCAGACAAAAAAGAAGCTTTTTTTTTTTTTTTTTTTTTTTAACTGCTCCTTCTTTCACTTCTTTTATGACAAAAAAAAAAAAAGGAATATAACAAATAAATACTGAATCTCTCAATTTTTTTCCCCCTGCACTTATTTCAGTCATAAAATGAGGAGACATTTAAAGGGATCGGCAATTTGAGAAAGAGAGAAGCAGAGGAGGGCTTGGGACTGGAAGGGACAGAGAGAAAGAGGAAAGGAAGAGTCTAAAACCCAATTGTAATTATACCAATATAAATTGTAATTATACCAAGAGCCAAAAATAAACTTAGATTTTAAATCAGAAAGCACACCAGCTGGATCCAGCCAAGTCTATGAGGAGGCCAGGAAGGGATCTATCCCTAAACCATATCAAGAAAGCTGTATAAATTATTCTTGAAAAGATCCACTAGAGAAGATTCCTGAACTTCCTGAGGAGATCTATGCCCATGCTCTGCTCTCCTCTTGGACATTTCTTCTCTTCACCTCTGCAAGAGCCCAAATCTTTCAAACTGATGTCCCATTTTCCACTGCACCTTTGTATTTCTACTGCCGGGCTCAGGAAGCCCTGGTCCAGCTCTGAATCTCCTTTGAATCTGATGATTTCTGCATTCTGTCCATACAAAATGGAAATCAGTCTGCTACCTTTCTTTTCTCCTCCAACTCAGATGCATTTCAAGATGTCTGCTGCTGTTTTTACTTCTCTGCATTAAAAAAAATCTTTTCCATTTTCTCTCAGGTCACATTTCATAGGTGCCCGAACCTCTGCTGCTTGGCTATGGCTCTCTCTTGCAGAAAGGAAATGCCCCCTCTTTCTTGATATTTGAGCACCAAAACTGGGTAAAATCTTCCTTTTAAGGCTGTAGTAGTGGAAAGTAGATGGAAGGGTACCTTTTAGCACAGCAAGCTATGCCACTCATTTGCACATTGCTCCTACTTGAGACTTACTCTGTGAATGCCCTATGATATTGAGGATTCATGTTCAAGCTTACGACCTAGTCGTGCCACATCTTTTTCACGAGGTGCCGTGCTTCTATCTGTTGCTACTGAGCTGCCTATTTTATGTCACTGTCCCTGTCTGTTTAGATCATTCTGATTCTAATTTTATTTTTCAAAGTGCTTGAACACCATTCCATTTTCTGATGTTCTGAAAACATAAAGCTCATATTATTCTATCATCCAAGCCACTAACAAGACATTGAATAGCTCTGGGTGAGGACAGGCTCCTCTCCTTGAAACATCCTTTCATGCTGACAAAGGACTCGGAGCAGAAGATTTTTACCAGCTATGCAACAACAAAAGATTTATCTACAACTTAATGCGCTGTGCTGCTCATCTTATCACCCACACGGGCTCTAGGTAGTTGGTGCTGGACAGGGAGGCTTTGCTGGCATTGAAGCTGCTCGTAAAGAGCAACTGGGATCTGGGAATCACCATGTGTGATACCCACTGGCATCACTGGCCATCTGACCTCCTGCTAGTACTGAACACAGCTTGGCTACTGCATCTTATGCTACAAACACCCATGTGAATATATATTATAGAAATACAAACCTGTAGGCAACATACTAGCAAGTATCTGTGTATTTACTCATTGCAGGTTCCACCACCTCCACCCACCAGACCAGGAGCGGTCTCCTCACAGGGATGTTCCCATTTACTCCATACATACTCCGATTACAGAGCCTATTTTCTAGCCTCTCTGGCAGCAGGTTCTGGGAGCTGCAGTTGGTGTGGGCAAGATGAAGCCATTTGACACTTTGTGACATTGCAAGGACACATCCAGGCTTCTCTAAGGAGATTCCACTAATGCTTGAAAATACAACTGGGTTTAAAACACAAACAAGTAAGCAAAAACAAAGACATTCTCCCACAATTTGAAGTTTAAAAAATATTTATATTACTACTAAATAATTTACAAAATAAGGAAGGACTCCTACTCTTAGTACCATATAGACAAATGCTGTTTAAACTGTTAAAAGCTTCATTTCTTATTAATTTTAATATGTGAGTATGAGAAGGAAACCACAGCTCGGGACCTATATCAACTTTAATAAATAATTTACTTGCCATATTCATCCTCTAAACCAAACAAAAGACAAAACCAGGTGCTCAGAGGACATGATGCGGAGGCACTCGCAGGCCGTGAGGGAGCAGCCGGAGGAGCTCGGGGCGCCGCTGGGGCGCACAGCGGCCCCGAGGCTCCGCGCTCCGGTTCCGCGGCACTCACAGGGGTCGCTTCTGCTCCCGGCCCAGCCGAGTGACCCAGCCCTGCTGCTTTCCTGGGTTTCCAGCTCTCCTGGGAAGCAGCAGGTCCTGACAGGTTCTATCAACGCACAGGCCAGGCCAGGCCTGAACTTCCCTTGGCCTCGCGGGACATTTTCCAGCCAGATAAGCTGCTTGGCCAGGGCGAAGGCCCGGCACGTTCAGCACCCCCAGGTGTGTCTGTGAGTTACTTTAACTCAAAAACTTAGTCACAAACATTAAAATTTACACGCTTTTAGATTTTAAATATGCAAAACTAAGTTAGAGGGAGTTTCCTCCAAGGCTGGAACCAGATATATTCAAAGCAAACTACCAGATCTCTGCATGCCAATCTGATTGCATACCAGCGTAAGAAGGAAAAAAACAAAACAAAACAAAAACCTCCATCACTGCCCCCAATCTCTACTTTCAACACAAATCTCATCTGAATGGTCTTTCCATACTTTCCTGTTTATACATAAGCAAAATGAAAGCCAGAAAGAAATCAAATTAGTACCTTAAGTAATGATTAATAAGGCATAAAAGTAATGAAAGCAGCACAGCTACTACAGAAAGGACTTTGAGGGACCTAGGGAGCTTCAAATGCAAAACTTGAAGTTTACCAGCTGAACATTTGCTTTCAGTTTAAACTGCACTGCTTCATTTTCTTTTGCAATGCAAAACTGTATTTTGTCTGTAAATTGGCACATGAGATTGGGCCTCTCCTCAGAGTTTTTATAATGAACAAGTTTCAGATTTTCCAGACCAGGAAGCTCGTTCCTCAAAAGCACTTTGTTATTTAACGGGACATCACCTGGCCCCTCAGATCTCAGGTACAGGATCAGAACCTAAGTATAAACCTAGATATTCACTAGAGCTCTGGAACAAAGTCCACTGAAGCCCATGGAGGGACTTCCATTTCTAAAATAAAAATGAGGGGTTTGAATTTGTATCTCTGAAGGGTCCAAGTCCTTCTCTCTCTCCAGAGACTTCTAAGGAGGAAACCTGGTTTAGGGTATGAATTTAAGTATTTTATGTAAGTAAGGGGGACTAAATTGTACTCTACCATCCATTGATGTGTGTGTGTGTGTGTGTGTGTGTGTGTGTGCGTGTGCGTGTGTGTTTACACATCTATCTATCTGTCTATCTATATATATGCAAACAATTCTTTCTGGAAACAAGCAACAAGAAAGGATGATACATTTCCAAAGCTAAAGTTGCTCATGGGTGTTTTTAGGAAGCAGGCACAGAGGTGAAGCACCAAGCATGCGGCGCAGCACCCAGACCATCTTCTCCAACTCTATCAGTTAGGTTCCACCTTACATTTGACAGCAAGGGGCTCAAACCAACATGATATAGAGCCTTAGAGATGGAAATCTTTCTCTCCTTTTTTTTTTTTTTTTTTGAATTAAAAATGTGCATAAAAATAAGATTGTAATGAGCTGCATGTAGAACAATCAGAATTATTAGGTATTTGCATTTCTTTTGCACCTTGAGCCAAACAACTAAAAAATTATGCATAGGATTCTCTCAATCTGAACAAAGTAAATATTAATAATCTCGGAATCTGCAATGAAACGTCTTTTGCCCTGAACCGGGAAGAGAGCCCTCCCAGCGCGGAGCGCCGTGGCGCAGCGACGCTGCCTGTACTCGGGACGCGCAGGCCGAGGCACTCGTGTGTGCTCGGAAATAACGCGCTGCCGTCCCCCGCTCCCGCTGCACAGGCACGTTCTGAAATTACCTGTTTGTCAGCTTTACAAATGGGTGTCTGTGTAAGCAGCCTCCCGCGTGGCACCACATTAGCAGGCAGGCAAGCTCTCATCTGCACATGCTGATTTTACAATCAGAATTAAAACATTTACGCTGTTCAGGGTGAGCTGATAAACAGGGATTTTAGAATTTCTTTTCTTTTTTTTTTTTTAAATGTGAAAAAAATGAAAGAAAAATGTTCCTCTAGATGCATTATGCCTTTGGGCTCCATTTGAGGGAAGGGAAAAAAGACAGAGAAAGCTACTGTGAAGGTCACAGAGTGAAAGAACTTCCTCAGGGCACAGAATAAATTAAATCCCAAGGAAAAAATAAAATGTGATTTCCAGAGTGTGAGGCACAAACTCAAAATGACAATGATTGACAGGCAAACTATATCCGTGCAATATCGAAGACTGCACGTTCTCATTTACCTCAGTGTAGCCAGCAAGCGCCCATTAAACATCCGTCTGATGCCCAAATTAAC